GGGGGTCTAACAAGTCCCGCGTGCCTCAACAGGCTGTGAGTGTGTGAGTGAGTGGCCATAAGCCGAACCTGGGAGCAGTGCGTGTAACAATACCTTAACCACTGCACCAAACTGGCTCCACGCACACATGCTCAGATGATAATAGAAACACGCTGGTCACTGGTAACTGCAATCAACTTGGTTTGGGAAAAGCCACAGAGAACCATTTTTTCCCACAAATTTCTTTCTTTCTTTTTGAATTTGATATTGTAATGACAGAAAATAATAATAAAAAGTGTTATACAAAAAGCATTTGAATCGCCCCCTCTCTCATTTCCCCCTTCTTCTCTGGATGTATTCTGAACTCTGCTGCACCTTTGCCAAAAGCGGATGCAAAAGGCCAGATGAACAAGGCAGGGGAGATGAGTCACAGACAGGGTTCTGATTTGGGGGAGGGTGTGGAGGGAAAGAAAAGTACCTCTTCCGTCACTTGCTCTTTTAGGTAGGAGAACGGGACACCCAGAAGGTGAAGTGGTCTGTGTCTCTTCCAGCCAATAGAGGTGGCAAGCTGCAAAAACAGACAAAGCATTCTGGTGAGTGTAACAGGCCTAGCAGGATGTGACCCACCTCCAAATCTACTCTCCCTTCCAGGTGAGCTTGCAAGAAAGCTCATGCCTTTGTTTAATTGGTACCTCTGTTGCCACGCCATCATCATTCACAACCATAAAGACCCGTGTCCCGTTAGTAGAGGTCACGTTGATGTAGTCCTGCAGGATGGGTGGACGCTTGAGGACCTTCCCAGATTCCTTCTTTTCTGGAGGCGTGACATGCAGCAGGGCTATGTCACTTATTCCCCCCTGGTCCGTGATATCAGGTCTTGGATTCCTACCCCATTAGAATAGGGAAAGAACTGTTCTTAGCAAAGCTTTGAAAAGGCAGCCCAGGAAAAATTCAGGCTTCCTCAAACTAGTGGCCTCCAGACTGCAACTCATATCACATCTGGCTGGACATGATAGGAAATGTAGTTTCAGGCATCTGGAGGGCACATATTCCATGCCAAAGGAAACATTTTATAAACTTATTTATAACTCTTCTTTTAGTAATGTGCTCCCAGACCCTTCTCTTGTTGCCCTCCAGCCTCACTGCCTTGGGCTACCAAACCAGGTCTGCAGGTTTGTGGACAACCACTAGATGGCAGCCATTATGCTTTTCTGTACCTGTCTGCTGCCATCTAATAGTCACCTGAATATTTGTAGCCCAAATCTGATAGCCCTATTGCTGCTCTATGTCAAAAAATTACTTCGATGAAAAAAAGGCACCAGTGTTTACACCATATTTATTATCCGGCATGCCTCTGGATCTGATAAATGTCCTACTGGAATGGTGGAAAGTACCTGGGGAAGCTCCTCATAATTCCTATGAGGGCAGATCTAGTATCACTGACTTGGAGGACCTCGTTGACCTGCCCAACTGAGCAAAAGGCCTCTCCACCAGCAACCACCTTGAGCACAGTTTAATTTCTTAGTCTTGGTGAGCTAACCTTGCATCCAGCTGTTCAGAACACGTGCTTGGAGAAAGAGCTGGTGCTACCCTATCCTGTGGTAAGTCTTCAGAGACAGTTCTGTTGACTTGCCCAAAGTCCAGCCGCTTCACAGCTTCAAGTCGCCGCCGCTTTGGTTTTGGTGCTGCCAGAATGCCGGGGAGCAAAGAAGAAACAGCTTTTTCATTTGTAAATGGGTCTTCCCCAAGCTGGTGCCCTCCAGGGAGGTGGGACTTCAGTCCCTATAATTCCAGTCAGCCCCTTCCCAACTTTCTGCCCCTAAAATCAAGTGGATCTCCCCAAGTTTTGTCAATTTTCAGGGGGCAAAATGGTTTTAAGCCTCTGCAAGGCTTAAGGATTGAATATTCTGGCCTTGTCTGTGCTGGAGATGCCACCGCCCCACTGGCCAGGCCCCTGTAGCCCCCAACCCAGAAAAGCTACCCATCCCTGGTTTAGAGCCAAGACATTTCTGTCTCCTGCCAGAGAACCTGCATCTCTTCTGGGAATCTTCCTCCAAAGGCACATTCCAACAACTCCTGAGGTCATTTTGACTGGGACTCTGGCTGTGACCTTCTCAATAGCTGTACCAGATCCCTGGACCACCTTTCTGAGAGCACCCTGGCTCAGTTCTTCACTAGCAGCTTCCCTGAAATTGGGAATATCTTTCATTTTCAGAATGCCTGAAATGCTTGGGGGGGACTTTGAGGGACGAAAGGCATTTCTGCAACTAATTGCAAGGCTGAAGGGTTTCGCTTTGCTTTGCAGCATGCCGACCTCCTCCTTAAAGGGCACAAAGGGTATCTGGGGAGGCACTGTTGCTGGAAAATGCCATCTTGTCTTTTGCCCCAAGAGTCAAAGGGTACGGGCACTCCATTTCATGGGCAGAGCCTCTACAAAGTTGAATTGCCTTCAATTCCTTAATAAAACTCTAAATATAACAACCATGCCTTTGTAAATTAGCAGGTCAAGCAAAACACCACAGCTTTTACTGCACAATGGACTTTAAAACTCACTGTGAGCCGTGCCATCCTGCTGGATCAGATGATCTTGGGGATCTTCGATCACTTCTGTGAGTTTTGGGGAGTGTTCTGGCCCCCCACATTTTGGGCCAGCTTCGCTCAGCATCTTCTTGGGGAGAACCTGGCTTTGGCCATCTTTTTCCAGACGGGGATGGTGGTCTACAGCACGGGAGTTCTTCAGCAGATCCCCGGCAGAGAGCGCCTCTTCAAACGTTCGCTTTTGGTTTCGGAATTTTGAGACCTTATTGCAGGACACTGGTGGGGCTGGACCTGCAAGAAATAGGAGAGCACTCAAACAATTGCTTCCTGGACACTGACATGTTGAAAACAAATCTTCCAGCTGGGCTGAGCAAACCAATTCATAACCCTCGACCGTGCCACAAGCTTAGGCAAAAGTGATAGACTATATTGGGCCAGATCCAGTCTCCAAACCATTTCATCTGGCCCAAGTAAGATGAAAAGTTTGCTTGTACACTCACTCATAGAGAACACTGCGCTCAACTGATATGGATGCAAATTCCCTCTAGGATCAGGTCAGAACACAGACAATTAAAAAAGGGAGACCTTTCCACTGAGGGTTTAAATGCTGTCAAGTCACTGTTGACTCTTAGCGACACGGAGACAGATTTTCTCTGGGATGGTTTGTGTCCAGCCTGATTTCCCGTTACCACTGTAACTGAGTCCATCCGCCTTTCCTCCTCTTCTTCTCTCTCCTTCCACCTTTCCCAGCATCAGAGCCCTCTCAAGAGCGCTGGGTCTTCGCGTGTGTCTGAAGTAGGATAATTAGAGCCCGGTCATCGGTGCCTGAGTGAGGACTCTGGGCTGAATTGTTCGATGATCCATTTTTGTCTGTTTACAGTAATTGGCTCTCCATGGTATTCTTGGGAGTCTTCTCCAACACCGAACGCTGCATCCCGGCTGCCAACTCCCAGGGGATGGCCGCAACGACAGTGAGGACCTTTTCTTGGCTGCCAACGAGTGGCCCAGATAAAGCTGCCTTTCTTACTGCAATGGCACCCATCTAAGCTACAGCCCCAGAGCTGCAAACATAAGCCTTGTCCCTCCTCTTGAGGCTGTACTTCGTCTGCAGCAAGTTCCTCTGGTCCTCCCAGGACCAACCTGAGGCCCATTTCATAGAAAGGGAAGACAGGCAGAATGCCTCAGCACCCCTGGGGTCAGTACGCCCCCCCCCCGAGGCTCTCGTGCTTTTCTCTCTCTTCTGCGCTGTACAGCAGGGTTCCTCAACCTTGGGGACTTGAAGATGCGTGGACCTCAACTCCCAGAATTCCCC